TGCGGTGGCACTGGGCAGGACCTCGTTGATGACCAGTGGCTCCGGCTCCTCCGGGGGACACTCAGCCGTCTGCGTCCCATCCACCGGCAGTGGTGTCATCTCCTGGGGGGAGGGGCCACAGCTGGAGGCGCAGGGACCCCAGGGCCCACCCTCTGCTGCCCGGGACTGCCGGAGTGTGGATCAGAGAAGCCGGCACACCTTTTCATCCCAGCACTGGGAGGCTGAGGCAGGAGGACCCCAAGCTCAAGCCCAGCCTGGAAACTATGGCAACTCAGTGAGATCCTGTCTCAAAATACAAAATAAAAAAAGCTGGGGAGGTGGCTGGGGTGATGGCCCAGGGTTCAGTACTTGGTACCAGAAAAACAAAACACTGGTTGGGAGGCAGAGGTGAGAGCCAGGCAGCCCCTGGAGGCCCACAGCAGGCAGTTTCTAGGCTGCATCGCTCTGCTCCTGCTCACTTAGAGCCTGGCCTGCCCCTGCCACTGCGAGCTGGAGAAGCAGGACTGAGGCTGCCAGTGCCTGGGTGCCATCTCTCTTCCCAAAGTCACGGCCGACTGGCGATTCCCGAGCCCCGGCCGCGCACAGGCTTCACACCTCACAGGGCCCTCGGGACCACGACCACCAGGCTTCATGGAGGCGGGAGGGGTCGGCGCTGGCAAGTAGAGGTCACACAAACAAGCAGGCTCAGAAACCCCGGTCCTCACCACTGACAAGTCCAGCTCCCATTCCTGACACAGACCCTGCAGAAATAGGGGAAGACTCTATCGCGGTCTGAGAAAAGCCTGTGACAAACCAGCAGCCAACATCCATCCGGTCACAGGAGAAACTGAATGCGCTCCCAGGCTCAGCAGCGAGACAAGGCTGAGTCCACTCTCCTGCTCTTCAGCACATACTCGAGACACTGGCCAGAGCGACCAGCAAGACAGAAAGAAACTAGATAAACAGCACGACGGGGTCCAACTGTCATTATCTGCAGGTGACACGGTACTTCTGCCTGTGACTAGAGCCCCCTACGCCTCATGGGGTCATGGCGGGGCTTTTCAGAGTTGGCTGGATCTACAGTGCGGGACTCTGCGATTGCTTCGTGGTGCACTGCTAGGCCCAAGGGCACCAGGATTAAGGGTGTGCATGCTGCCCACCCTAAGTGGCCTGGACAAAGAGGCACGGAGAGCTGTGGTCGTCCTTCACATGCTTTGGTGCCTTCTGCCCACCATGAACTGTTTCTCCTCTGCCATCCACCCTGCCTTGGAGCCAGCCTGCTATGACTGAACTAAATAAACCTTTCCTCCTTTAACTTTGTGTTGCAGCAGAGAAAAAACTAAGGCAATACTCTAAGTAGAAGAGCCCCAAACTCCACCAAAAGACTCCTAGAATTAATAGCCAAATTCAGTAGCACAGCAGGACACAAAGTCAATGCACAAAACTCAATAGCATTCCTATAAAACAGAAAATAAAGTCACCAGGAGAGAGATTAGGGAAACAACACCTTTCACAATAGCAACAGGAAAAGTGAACTACTTAAGAATTAACCTAGCCAAGGAAGTGAAAGACATCTGCAACAAAATGTAATACTCTGAAAAGGAGGTCAAAGAGGACATCAAAAATAGCGTGTGTATGTGTGTGTGGTACTGGGGACTGAACTCAGGACCTTCACACCAAGGTACATCTCCAGCCTCTTTTTTGAGAAAGGATCTTGCTAAGTTGCCCCGGCTGGGCTTGAACCTTTGATCCTCCTGCCTCAGCCTCTCAAGGACTGGGAATATAGGTGTGTGTCACCATGCCCAGCTCATTAATTTTTGCAAGATTAAAAAAATACATGTACATAATTTCCTTTAAAATGTTTTGAAGTTCTACAGGACTATACCATGATGACTGCCTGGCCTTAGTTCCCACCCTTCTCCCCAGAGCCAGCCAGCCCCCGGGTTTCCTGTACGTCCAGTGCAGGCTCAGGACACACTGGGTATCTGGAGGGAGTTCAGTGTGGTGCCATCTCCTTCCTTTTTTTGAGACTGAGTCTCCCTATGTAGCCCAGGCTGGCCCTAAATTCAGGCAACCCACCTGCCTCAGCCTCCTGAGTGCTAGAATTTCAGGTGTGTGCCACCACATCCGGCTTCCTATGGCTTCTCTTCACCACCTAGCTTCATGCCAAGATCCAGGGGCCACCAATGCCCATCTCTGGCCAAAACTGGCCACCGTGACCTGCTGTCCCACCACCCCATCCTCTGCAGCCCAGCCAGCCGTGAGACCCTCCATCCCACAGTGCAGTGGCTCCCAGCTTCCTGGAGAAGTCGCTGTTTCGTCTGTCTTTGGCTTTGGTCACCTCAGATCCGCGTGGGCCAGGGCAGGGCCGCCGCTTGGCCAGTGGCAAATGCACGTACCTTTTTAGGACTCACCAGGGACGATCAAAAATGCAGTGAAGGCTTGATTTTGAAAAGCAAGCGCACCTTAATAAAAGCCACACTGCCACCCAAGCGGGCAGCCCTCCCCTTGCTGTACCACACTCGTCCCCGTGCTGCCACTGTCCGCAGCAGCTCTGGTGTGCTCGCTCCTCAGTGTCTTCACCAGAGGTGATAAAACACAGTGACTGCTGCCGCCGACCTCCACCCAGTGGAAAAGGCAGCTCAGAGCGTCGTCCTCCCGTTACCAGGTCTGATGCCCCACGACTTCCAGCTCCCCGCAAAGTCAGGATGAGCAGAAAAGGGAAAGGTCTCTGGTCGGCTCAGGACGCCGAAGCAGCCAGGACAGAGCACCTAAAGACCCCGAGGAGCCGGGCACCCGGCGCAGGCCGTCACCGCCCCGTCTCACCTCCTCCAGCGGAAGCCTCTGGGCCCAGGTGCTGTTGGCCGGGTCCGGGACGCCAGGGCGGCACCACTGTGGCCTGAGCAGCGTCAGCAGCAGCAGTGCCCTGCAGAGACAGCAGGACTCGGGTCGGTCGCCCCGCACTGTGGACGCAGAGCCCACAGCCAGCGCAGCACCACCTGCTGTGAACGGAGCGGCACCGGCACAGGGAGCCGGGCCCCTCACTGCCTCAGCCTCCCAAGTGCTGGGATCACAAGGGCACCACGCTGGTGATGAGTATCTTCCTAGTGATCGATATCTCTGAGAATTTCCATTGGCTGGATGTGCAAGTGCACGACACATTTAGAATCCGTTCCTGTGCGGAATGTCTAAGCCTCATGCACACACTCAGAACTCTGACTCCACTGTGGCCAGAAGTCTGAACGACACATGTCCAGTGTCTCCTGGACCTGGCGGCCGCAGCACCTGAGGATGCAAGACCAACTCACTTTTGCCGGAAGAAGCGGGTGGAGAAGACGCCCACGGTGAGGACAGCCACACACGTGCTCACGGCCAGCACCGCTGTCCAGCCTGTTCCTCCTGCAATGGCAGCAGGCTCAGGCTGAGCAGGGACCTGCCGGCTGCTGGACAGGGACCCCGCCCTGCCCAGGGGGAGTGGGACCCAGGGACATTGCGACCTAATGTGGAGTCAGTGAGGTGACCCGAGCTGGGCCAGGGCCTGGAAACCGCGCCTCCTTCCCTGGGCAGGGCCAAATCCTGTCAGGGGCTATGGGCGACTCTGTTCCCTCAGCCACTGTGTCCTGTGTGCCACCTGCCATCTGGCCTGCCAGGAGCTGAGCGCAGAGACAAGGAGGATGTGGACACCTCTGTAATGAGCCACAAACAACGCGTGAGAGACAGGTGTGTGCCTGTGTGCCATACATGTAAGCATGTGGGCAGACAGCGGAGATCAGCACGGCAGCGGCCTCCCAGGGCCCAGAGAGGTCTGGAAAAAGATATCACTCCGAGGATCAGAGTTGGTGCCAGGCACAGTGGTGCATGCCTTATAAACCTGGCACTCGGGAGGCTGAGGCAGGAGGATCGCCATAAATTCAAGGTCATCTGGTGTATGGTAATTTCCTCCAGCAGCCCAGCAAAGCACTGCTCGAAGGAAGGAAGGGCTCTTCCTTGCCCACCAACTCCTCATACACAATCCTTGCTATTGCTCATGCTGGCGTGCGCCTCCTCGTGGTGTGAATGGTACTTAGGGATCACCAGTCCCGCCTGAGCCCTGTGCAGTGGAGGAAGAGCGGAGTAGGAGGGGAGGAGCACAGGGGCAGAGGAAGCACAGAGCACAGGTGGCGGCAGGAGGGGCGGAGGGAGGGGGCTGGGTCCGGGTTTACCCTGCAGGCTGAATTCCCTTTCATTTCCCCGTGGCCCCTCGCCCGCCTCTGTCACCGCCGTCATCCACAGCACATAGGTCACCCCGCGCCGCAGGCCGCTGAGCCGGAAGGAGCTCCGGGAGGGCCAGCTGGGGACTGCTGCACCCAGGGGAAGAAGAGGTGAAAGGAGTTGGTCCAAGACGAGCTTTCACTCAGTTTAGGTTTGGGTTTTTTTCTACCGGGGATCGAACTCAGGACCTCCTGCTTGCCAGGCAGGTGTGGTGCTGCTGAGCTGCATCCTGGCACTCATCTTAATTTTTTAATGATTCATCGAACTGGAAGTGAAAAAAGCATATTGCTTCTTAAGATAGTCCTAATTCATCAAGTCTTTCTACCAATCGTCTATTTACACGTTCGGTCTTGTTTTTTGAGAGAAGGCTGACCCTAACCCTAACCCTTGAACTCACTGTGTAGCCTAGGCTGGTCTTGAATTCACTGGGAACCCCCCTGCCTCAGCCTCCTGAGTGCTGCACTACACAGTGAGATTAAAAAAGAAAAAAAAATCAAAAACCAAAACAATAAACAAACCCTTACGTAGGGTTTAGGTTCATTAGATTTATAATAAAATTAAGTAGATTTTTCAATATCTACGAGAATGGTTTTGAGAAGCAAATAACCGACCCTAGTGACCTTTGTGGTTGTAACAGGCACCTTGGTTTAAATTCTGCAAAAATGAAAATCGGGGCAAATTTCACATGGAGAATTCCAAATGGCCATGAAGAGGTCACCTGGTTCATCAGCCGTGGGGTGCATTCAGAACTGAGTCACCCGAGAGGCACCAAGGGAGCAGTTGCGTCTCTGACGCCCCTTATCTGGGGCAGATGAGTTAAGGAATGCCTGGAGGCCTCACGGTGGAATACTACGGAGCCGTTACCAAGCGAGGCAGGGCCACGCGGGTTACCAGGGAACGCTCTCCAGGGCGACCGCGGGGCACAGGCAAGGCGGAGATTGGACTACAAAAAAGGTTCCCAATATATTCTTTATGTGCGTTCATTTCTTTTTCTGGAAGAACAGAGAACTGCTGAAAACCTAAGTGCCAAGAAAATGTGTTTCTGACCTATTTCAATTTTTTTTTTAGCCAGGTGCAGGTAATAGTTGCAAAATAACAAGTTAACCAGCATCAAAAGTCAGAGCTTTCGGAGGAGGACGGTCGGCTCCCCTGTGACTGGGAAAGAAGACAAACCTGGGGTCTCCTGTGGTGTCTTCCTGGCACCTGGAGCCGAGTGGTGACTTTCCGGAGGGAACAGGTCTGTTCCTTTTTTTTTTTTTTTTTTTTTTTTTTGTTTGGAGACAGGGTCTCACTATGTAGTTGAGACTGATCTGGAACTCACTATGTAGCCCAGGCTGGTCTCGAACTCACAGCCTCCTGCCTCAGCCTCCCGAGTACTGGGATCACAGGCCTGCACCACCATGCCCGCCCGTCCCTTCTTTGTGTATGATAAATTCTGGAAGAAAGCCAACTGCTTGCGAAATAAAGCAGTCAGGCCGGGAGGGGGCGCAGGGCGGCTCAAAATCGTGTATGGGCGACCCGCTGGCCTCATCCGACCTCTGGGCGTCATGGGACCCGGCTGCTCCCACGCAGCTACTGGAAGGCGGGCGTTCCCGGCGTGTGGGCGAGAACTCCGTGCACACACACACCCACACACGCGCGACACACACGCATGCACATATACCCTGGAGTTGCGGCGGGGTGCTGGAGCCCCGTTCCCGCCAGTAGATCCGGAGGTGCAGGACGCAGCCCACCTGCTCCCTCGCCGGCTGGGGGCTCCAGGACACCGAGACGACCGCCCCATCCTCGCTGATGGCCTCGATGCGGGGGCCGCTCACCGGCGCTGGGAAGAGAGCAGGGCGGCCCCGTCCGCCGTCAGCCTCCGGCCAGGTCCACCCAGAGCGTAGCCCAGTGGAAGCCGCTGGCCCTGCTCACCTTTGTGCCCCGAGTCGCCCAGGACGGAGCTGCACCCGCCTCGGGTCCCCGACAGCGCGTACACGCGGATCTCGTAACACACGTAGGGCTCCACGCTCTCTGCAAGCAAAGTTGCTCGGGTCACAGCTGGGCGTGAGGCCCACGAGCCACGGCAGGAAGCAGAGGTCGCCACTACGCTCCAGGTGTTGCCTGTCTTTTTTTCCTGTGGTACTGCGGATTGGACCCAGGGCCTTGGCAGTGAGCTACATCTACAGCCCTGTTTGCATTTCTTATCCGATAAGAAGCCCAGGCTGAGTTTGAACTTGTCATTCGCCTGCCTCACCCTCCCAGAGCGCCTGGGACCACGGTCGTGTGTCGCCACACCTGGATTCTTGCCTTTGGAGATGGCTCAATTATGGCTCAGCCCAGGGGCAGTGAACCTTTCAGAGCTTCTGATGAGAACAGACACACGTGTGCCACAGGTTCGCCACCACTGGCAGAGATAAAGGGAAGAGCTGCGTTACAACTTAGTAATGCCCACCTGTGCGCAGGAGGGACGTCCCGTCCCCCACAACCTAAATGAGGAGGGGTTTGTTGGGCTCGCGGTTTAGCCCAGCGTCTCCAAGGCACAGGGCAGGGCACTGGGCAGGGCTGGGCCAAAGCCGTCCCCCGCAAGGAGCATGGGAAGCAGAGCGAGGGGAGGGGCAGGGAGGGTGATGAGCCCGTCCAGGCCCCGCCCCCGAAAACGCCCCCTTCGGGACGGGTCCGCCCCCAGCTCTAGTACCGCCCCCCAACCAAAGCCCGCCTATGAGCACGGGAGGCTCCTGGACCTGTAGATCTGAATTCTCAGTTCATGGTGAGCGGAACTTTACTTCATTTTTCTCTCTTTTCTTTTTTTGTTTTTTTGAGGCAAGGTCTCTCTTCGTAGCCCAGGCTGGCCCTGAACTCACAGTGATCCTCGTGCCTCAGCCTCCCAAGTGCTGGAATTACAGGTGTGTGCCACCACACCGGGCTCTTCACTTCATTTTTTAAGCGTTTATTTCCAGAATAAAGCAGCTACCTAAACTGAGAGCTGGCCGAATGTTTCCAAGCAGGAAAACCGCCATCAAGTTAATTTTACTAGCTACAAAATTATTTTTGCTCAAATGCATAATTCTAAACTACTTTAAGAGACTCTGCCTTCCTGAGTGTGGAGAAGTCTCCCTTCTCATGTTTCGGGTGTTTGTAAAGCACTCTAGAACTTCAAAGGAAGAGCCCACGGGAATGCAATTCTAACGGCCCCCAGGGCGGGCATGGCCTTGCTGTCGCTTTGCCGTTTGGAAGATGCTGTCGGCTGTCCTGTCAGAGGCATCAAGGCTGCTTCTCAACACGGGTACCTCCTTGTCACTTTCACTCAGCCTTCGCCTTGCTCTCCACAGCAGCAAGGAAGCACATTTACTATGTTGTTGTTTTGGTGGTTGGTTGGTTTTCTTTGCCTTTTTTTTTTTGAGAGACGGTCTCACTATGCTGCCCAGGCTGGTCTTGAACTCCTGGACTCAAGCTACCCTCCTGCCTCAGTCTACTCGGTAGCTGAGACCAGAGGCACCCCGTTTCTATTTGTATCAGAACAGACCACAGCCACCCCAAACCAAGTATCCCCAGCCTGCCCCATCTGGAATTCCCTGCTGCTGGCTGATGGTTTCCGGAGGAGCAGTTCTGGACCCCTGGGTGAGCCACCAGGCAGTGTGTGCCTGAAGGGCACGGTGAGGACAGAACCCACTAGGACCTGGGATCCCGACAGTGACCCTGTGCCTCCAGCTCTGTGCAGGTGGGGCCTCCTTCTCTGTGTGTGTGGACTCTGTCAGGACACAACTGGGAGCTGAGCTTGAAAGCCTGTTACACTTTTAGCTCCCTCCATGTGTTTCACAGTAATGATATGATCGCCAAACCATCAAGCAGGCACTGTTTAAGATGTTTTCAATATATCACTGAGTCCTCGCAATATCACAATGAATAGGTAACACTGTCATTTTTCAGATGAGGACACTGAGTTAAGGCACAAGAGTTAAGTAATTTAGCTAGGTGTGGTGTGCACATGTGTAATTCCAGCACTCAGGAGGCTGAGGCAGGAGGATCGTCCTGTGGCTAAGGTGGTGTTTTCTGCTCTGCCATGCCTTTTTGTTTATTTTTTATTTTTATTTTTTTTGCGACAGGGTCTCACTGTGTGGTCCAGGCTGGCCTTGAACTCATTATGTAATCCATCCAGGCTGGCTTCAAACTCGCTGTGATCCTCTCCTCAGCATCCTGAGTGCTGGGACTAGGTGTGTGTGCTGCCACACCGGGCTTTTTTCCCCTCTTTTTGTAGTGCTAGGGACAGGAGCCCACCCCGTGCGCGGCAAGCTCCACCCCAGCACTGCACGCTTAGCCGCGTGGTGCTGCCGGATGGACTCTAGGACGTCACTGTCCATCGTGGTGCCAGGTTGTCAATCTCCTGTGTAACTAAAGCCGGGCCCTGGGTCCCCGCCTGCAGTGCCCTGAGCGAACACGACCCCCTCGGAGCAAGGTGACATTGGTACCTGGGATGACAGCGGACCTGCTGGAGGCGGGGATCCGCAGCCAGTTCAGCGGGGCCTGCAGGCTGCGTCCAGGCAGCGCCGTCCACTCCACCAGGTACTGCTGCA